TCTACGTGTCATTACTCATTTCTATCATTATATAAAAGCTGCGGGTCTCCATCTGCTACCGGTGAAATGAATGAAGGTAACTTAGTGTTACATAAAACCGTCCACCGGTTAGCTTAGCATCACCGGCACCGACTTCTAACGGGAGCTCTGCTTGTTCACACCGGGCTGTGTAAATGCGGCATTTTACTGTGAACATCATCCGTCTTTTTCTCCGGTTATCCGCCCATAAGTTGGCGGACAGGCGGCGGCTAAACCTCCACCCGGTCACCGCCGCCGCTAGCTTGATGCTGCCCCGGTGAACGGACACTCACTCACGCGCGCCGGTTCATGCTAACGTCCCCCGTTTGTTTATTTATTTATTTATTTATTTAAATAATAAAATAAAAGCACAAACCGGTTCGCTCACCTTCGCCACTGAGATCAGATAGTAGCAGGTGTACGCGGCGCTGAAGCCCAGCACCAGAGACAGCCCGACGCCCGAACCGAACAGCCCAACTCTGACTTGGTTCTCCAGGTAGTGCGACAGGTCCCGGGTCAGAACGTTGAGGTTGAAGTCCAGCGAGATCATTGCAGAGTTCCTGGAGCTGCGAGGACCGCGGCCGGCTCGGTACTGGTGCTGCTGCTGCTGCTGCTGTGTCCGCCCGAGAGCCCGCAGTGAAGGAGACCGTCAAGGGGAGCTGCTGGAGGAGGAGGAGATATTTATGTGTGAGCGGAAGGTGGCGCTCTTTGACCGGCTTATGCGTGGAGACGGGCTGAGCAGGGCGCCCCCTGCAGGCAGCACGGGACACCTGCACCTCACAGGAGGAGGCTATAAACGCCTTTTGGGAGGAATAAGTTTAAATCAGTTCTTTTTGGAGAACAAGAAGACATCCTGACTTTATTTTTCTGTGTGAATTTGCTTCTTGCTTCTACTGGCATTTTATGAAACACCTCAATTATGCTCGTTATGTTTCCAGAGAGCGTTCAATATGCATCCTTGTATATCTGCCACACTAAAGGCTCATCCAGCCCAGACCTCATGTCAGGGGAGCTGCTCCACGGCCAAACAAAAGACTCTAGACCGGTGCCTAATAGATCCTTAACCCTATTCAAGACTCTCATGTTGCCCTACGTAGGTCTTTGAATATCCATCCATCATCTCTACACCTTAATCCTCACTAGGGTCATGGGGGGCTGGAGTCTATTCCAGCTGACTCAGGGTGAAGGCAGGTTCACCTGGACAGGTAACCAGTCTATCACAGGGCTACACTTAGAGACAGACAACCAAGCACACTCACATTCACACCTACGGACAATTTACAATCACCAATTAACCTCAGCATGTTTCTGGACTGTGGGAGGAAGCCGGAGAACCCGGAGAGAACCCACGCTGCACGGGGAGAACATGGAGACTCCACAGAAAGATCCCGGGTGTCCTCACTGGGACGCGAACCAGCGACCATCTTGCTGTGAGGCAACGGTTCTAACCAGCTCTCCACTCGCTCCACCTCTGTCCCGCTGATCCTGAGTGGGTGGTGTGTCCTCTGCTGCTTCTTGCTGTCGTCCACCATCAGCTCTTTGGTCATGGTGACGTTCAGGAGGAGGCTGTTGTCTCTGCAGCAGCCCTCCAGGTGGGTGATCTCCATCAGATGGTCCTCCTCGCTGTTGTTGGAGATCAGACCACTGCTGTCATCAGCAAACTGAATGTTAGAGTTATGAGGAATTCTCATTTCAAAGTCATAATGTTTGTATAGTGACATTTTTTTCTAGTGTTACCACGGAAACAGACGGCAATCAATCTGGATTTGTGTTGACAAAACATCCACCATGAGTGAAAGTTAATTAATAATATGAGGAGTTCAGTTCCACAGTGGACCAAACCAACAAAGAATCCAAAGTTGAGTTTGATGTTTTTCTGTTTCTGGTGTCAAAGTTCTCCAACCAGCAGCCCACTGGAAATGTCACGATGCCACTTTGAAGTTTGAACCCGTGATGGTTTTGGTATGAAAATTTAGTGGCAAACTGGGCCTGGTACTGTTTTAAAATAAAAAAACTGAAAAAATAGTAAAGCACATTATTATTTCTTGATTCAGACGTCAAATTATAGTTATTTGCATGCATTCCTGAACAGAACAGTATAGTTTTAGTGGTTGAATGTGATCAGTTTTCTCTGAAGCCCAGTGAGCTGCTCAGGTTTGGGCATCAAAAGGAGAATTCAGCTTGAAATTCCTCATTCCTGTTTAAAACGGTGAAACGTGGAGAGCTGAGTGGCGTTAAAGCACTTCCTGATGCTGGAGTAGTATTTAGGCTTGAGTCAACACATCAAACCTTTGTGACGAGTTAGAGTTCATCAGGGTAACGTGGTTTTGGCACACGGTGACCGGACAGCTCAGAGTAAAAGAAAATGACTGATTAATGAGGCATTTGCAAAGACAGCACCTCGTCCTGCTCCCGTGAAAACATCACAGACGTGCTGCAGCGGTTGTGAAGCGAAATCACTAACCAGGCAAAGCAGGCGAATGCCCCAGAGCCTCCACAGCCCCAGGGGGCAAAATGTTCCAGCTTCACCCTGTGGCAATGTGCGCTAATTTAATTAAATGAAAATGTAATGGAATTTTAAAGGGCATTAAGGTAACACTACTATCTTTCTTGTACGGAGGGATCCAGAGTTAAAATCTATTTATAAGGTCTTTTTTTTAAATTCAGGTTTATACTGTTCACACACGGTGTGTTTTCAAGGATTATTCAAGGATTTATTTTGTCATTTGTGCACAAACAGACACTCAAGGCACTTTGCATTTCTTGTGCACGGCTCTCTTAGAGTGAAAACACCTGATAACACTCTACAATAAAAGATGAAAATACTAAAAAATATATTAAACAAATCTGAATGCTGCAGCTGAGGTGTGAAAAAAACTAAACAAGAAGCCAGTAATGTACCACTGCAGTTATCCAGAAACATGTAGAGGATGTTGCACATGCATCACATCCTTTTAAATGGTAAATTAAGTCTGCTTAATCCACAGAGAGAGAACAGGAGGTAAGTGGGGCTCATACAGGGCAGGATATGCAAACAGAGAAAAGTCATATTGCAATTATTTTCACAGATATTGTGATTACAATATAAAACACAATTTTAGTGCTTTCTTTGTTATGACATGTTTTTGAATTTTGCCGGTCCTGCAATTTGCATATTGCACTTGACATATGCTGGATAATATTTCATTTATTGTGCAGCCCTGAGCTTCACGCTAGGGCCCTGGGAAGACTTACGTAGTCAGATTTCAAAAGTACCTGAAGGTTGGTCTAGTGTTTTCAGAGCATGTGCAGGACTATGATGAGGATGAAAAACATTCAGACATTTGAATTTTGAGAGACAGATCAATATAATTTCTATATTGTTTTAGTACCAGATGAACATACGGTTGCCTTGTCTGCCTCAGCTTCTGAAGCTTGAAGTTACTGGCTATAAAATAAATGTGCTTCATTGTAAAATGTGTCTTTATTCAGTCATGCTTCAGTATTTCATTTGTGCATCTGGAGTTTGGTTTTTTCTCTAGACTTCATTTAAACAAGCTGTAAATGACGATCATGTGACAATTCAAAAAACAGTAAACTGACATTTAGTGTGCCACTTAATAACTATAATCAAGGTATTCCATTCCATTGTCTTTAACTGATAAAAAAAATAAATAAAATGAAACCATCTGGTGGCCTCAGACACGTCCATGCTGCTGCTATTTATTCCCCGGGGGTTGGATCTCACATAATTATGAGCGTCTGAACTCATGTCAGCTGCCATCAGCACTTATTGTGCATTTTGTATTTGATATTTTTCTTATTGTTTATTTTTCACTTAATGCTTATTTTTGCATATTGATCTGTAATTATGGTGGTTATAACTTTACTCTTTCTGCTGCAACAACCGAATTTCCCCTCAGGGATAAATAAAGTATTTCTATTCTATTCTATTCTATTCTATTCTATTCTATTCTATTACCAGATCTTTATTTGTTAATTTATTTATCAGTGTTAGCTTATATGTGTTTAAAGATCTGGACAAAATATTTATTTTTCTTAAAAATGAAATAAAATACAACAAAATGATTTCAATGAACTGATGTCAGTACTTTACAAGTTGTGACATTTAAAAGAGGTGTATTAGTTTAAACTGATGTTTTAGGTGGAAATTCCCTTGTTATTACCACTTAATGTAAAATTCCCCAACATACTGCTGGACATTTTTGTTTATTTATCTGTATTTATGGTGGTGGTGACTTTACTCTGTCTGCTGTAACAACCCAACTTCCCCTCAGGGATAAATAAAGTATTTCTATTCTATTCTATTCTATTCTATTCTATTCTATTCCCGGATATGTATTTATTTTATTTATTTATCAGTGTTGGCTTATGTGTGTTTGAAGATCTGGAAAAAATACTTTGATGTACAAATGATGTCAATGGGAAATCCCTTGTTAATACCACTTGTATGTAAAATTCCCAGACATAGTTCTGTATATTTTTGCTTATTTATCTCTTTCTGCTGTAACAACCGAATTTCCCCTCGAGGATTATTCTATTCTATTCTATTCTATTCTATTCTATTCTATTCTATGACCAGATATGTATTTATTTATCTATCAGTGTTGGCTTTTGTGTCTTCGAAGATCTAGACGAAATAATCATTTTCAAAAACAAAAACAAAAACATGTAAATGAACTGATGTCAGGACTTTGCTGTACAGATTAAGACATTTGAAATAGGTTATTAGTTTAAGCTGACGTTTAAATGGAAAATTCCCTTTTCAAAGCACTTAACTGTACAATTCCCCAACATATATCCGCGTCTCCTTCATTAAAACTCCTCTAAACGCTGAGGTATATTTGAATACTTGTGAATAGCCGTGCGCGTGGCCGATGCGCACGCGCGCCGGGGGCAGGACTCGCTTGTTTTCCAAAGCTTCGCGTCTTCGTGCTTCATCGTTCACCTCCGGAGCTAGTTGTTGCTCGTCTGAGGTTTGAACGATGATTGACTATAATGGCGACGCGTTTATTCTGAGTTGAGTCCATGGAACCGTCTCTGGCTGACAAAACGGAACAGCTCGGCTTGTTTTTTCCGCGCCACATACAACAATAAGGGGGACGAGCGGTCGCCAGCAGGAGTGCGTTGACCACCGAGACGAGGAGCCAGCGGAGGTTTATCTCGCTAGCACCGCGATAGCTAGCAACTCGGCTCGCTAGCTTGCTAAGTTGAAGAGGTGGCATTCTTGTGTGTGGACCGGAGGAGAGGGGCAGCCAGTCTGCTGAGCGCTGATCTGTCTTGGCCAGTAATGTGGCCGCTTCACCGATTTCTGGGGTGATTTATCTTCTCGTTCCCGGAGGCGACACCGAGGAGGCGCTGGCTGGTGGCGGACGCTAGCTTGTAGTAATAGTTTTTGGAAGAGGATCCAGCAGCCTCCTTGGGTAGCTAACTTAGCTACTTAGCTAACAGGCTAGCTTTGTGGATTGTTCCAGTCTCTTTCCTGTCGGGACTTGCTCTCGCGTTTGAAAGAAAGAAACTGTCCACCGATAGCTAGCTGGCGACCACTGCTAGCTCACTAACTTGTAAACGATTTTTTTGTGGTGTTTTGCGAGATATTTTTCGTAAATGACCACCGGTAGGAATAACCGGGCGATGATGGAAGGAGTTGGAGCGAGAGTGGTGCGCGGACCCGACTGGAAGTGGGGGAAGCAGGATGGTGGAGAGGGACATGTTGGCACCGTCAGGAGTTTTGAAAGTCCAGAGGAGGTGGTTGTTGTCTGGGACAATGGGACGGCCGCCAACTACCGCTGCTCTGGAGCCTACGACGTGAGGATACTAGACAGTGCTCCAACAGGTAACTCCACATCAGTGGCTTTATGTCAACAGACTCGTGAAGGAACAGTCATGCGCGAAATGTTAATTTGGTGATCGGTGCAGGAATAAGATTATTGAGATTGCTGTAATTAATAAAAACAACTTTCTGTGTATTAAGTTCAACTTGTTCGCAGCTAGTTTCTAATGTGTGTTGAGCGCATAACACTCGACGGATGTGTTTTAATCAAGATGAGCATTTGAATACATCCTGTGTGAACAGATGTGTCGCAGCCAGCTGTCAGCCGCTACAAGATGTGCACGTTCAGAGTGGAGTTAGAGGAACCTGTGACTCTGCATGGCACACCACGATGAGAAGCTCGTTCACGATGTACATGTTTGCTATTAGGATGTGCCAAGTAAACATAAACACTTAACCAACGCTTCAAAACAGTTTTTTTTTTAACTCATGCATGTCAACACCCTCCAGTTCATGTTCTGTTTACGAGGTCCGTTCACTTCCCTAGATTTCTACCTGAAGATGCAGTCACGTGATGAAAACAGTTTTTTGTTGTTATGTTTGTAAATCTAAAGTGTCACATAAACAACTAAATGCTGCAAGATACTGAGGATACGGACAAGTTTTATTGTACGTGCACTCATATCAGACTACAGTTTGTCAAATGCATACTTTAGATGCACATTAGGTGTATTTTTTAACAGCCTGTATGCATATTGTTGATAGCAAAATATTGAAAAGTTGTTGCTCTGTGCAAATGCCATCGCACGACACATTGTCAGTTTATTAACTTTGACTAATGCTAACCGTCCCCCCGCAGGCATCAAGCATGATGGAACCATGTGTGACACCTGCCGTCAACAGCCCATCATTGGTATTCGCTGGAAATGTGCAGAATGCACCAATTACGACCTCTGCACAACCTGTTACCATGGAGACAAGCATCACCTGAGACACCGGTTTTACAGGATCACCACCCCGGGCAGTGAGAGGTTAGTTAACCTAGCAACATTTGCCATTATTGTGCCTCACCTTAGACCCACCAATGATAAGGTAGACACAACACAGCCAGGTAATGCCTGCGCTGCATCGTGATTGGTTGGCCTGCCCCCTTTACGCGCTCAGTTTGGCTTTATGTTGCCTTATGCGAGTGTGTGACATTTGAGAAGTCTTTTGTGCACCCTGCCTCTCAGGCAGACAGAATCTATCTCTATGCTCCCAGCCCTCAGTTGCCTGGCAACAACTCAGCCTCGTTTTAAGATTCAGTCAGACCTTTTTAAAAATTATATTAATGCAGTGTTTCTCAGTGTGTTTTAAATTTTCCACTTTTAATTTGTATTTATGTCTTGTGAAGGCTGCATACAGACATCACTTAATACAACTCTATCCCTTTGGTGGGGCTTAGATTAGGGATGGTGATTGCAGATTTATAGAGTGTTTTGCAGCGGAATTTAAAATTTCATAATTTCGAGCATTTGGCTCCAGAAAACATTATAGTTGCATCTGACAAATGGAGATAGTGAAAACCCACTGCATTAATATGTAAGACAACCCCCTGCTGGATAAAAAGAAAAGACTCAGTGTGTAATAGCATCTCCATTTGTAATCACCTAATGCTAATAATGATGACAATGAGGAGTAGTACAGACATGTAGAGCCCGGTGTTTTCACTCCATCCAGATGCCAGAGAGAGAGCTTCTGCAATCCTTTGTGCTTCATGTTGTTTATTTATCGCTGTTTGCCTGAAGTCATTTTGTCATTCAAACGGCATTGTCTCAGTGGAGGCCCCATTGTTTTCTCTGCAGCGCTTTATTTGCTGCTCAAATCTCATTTTCATGTCTTAAAGTTCCTTTTTTTCCACTTTCCGTGTGTACTTCTCACGAAATGAATTTTAATGTGCAGATGGTTTAATGTGAAGGCCGAGTCAAGAATACAGGGAAGCCTTCTAAGAACATGTTCACACTGTCCACAAGCCTGGATGTTTTGTTTTTGTTTTTTTTTACCTAAACTTGATTTCATAAAATTCTGTCTCAAAATAGATTTTTGTCAGATTTTTTTTTTTAGTCAGGACATTTGAAGTTGGTGCAGATGCTTACAATTAGGAAAAACCTAGTAACAGGGTGTGACCAGTTGTCATCAGACCAAGAGCTCTGTGCACAATGATTTGATCTGACATTAGAAACTGTGTGTGTGGTGAACATATGAGAATTGGTACATGTGGAGAAAAAAAAAAAAGCCAAATTTACTTTAGATATTCAACAGCAGGTGTCTACAGGTGGTTTTATTGACATGGAATAACTTCCTCCGCGCTCCTGGATTTCTATTGGAAACTACTTTTCAGATGTGAGAAGTAGAAACGCTGCCACCAGTTCATTCATGTACAGACAAGATCAAGTCAAAGTGCTGCACACAGTTTCATTCAGTGCATTGCTCGAGATGGAGATTAAGGAAGCTCGTGTTGTAGGAAAAACAAGCAATCAGCAAAGACTTAAAACGTACCGTTTGGACTTGTTGGTGAGCATCACTACTCAATTACTCACTAAACTGCACAACTTGCATTTGATTGTGATTTCACACAGACAATCAGTGCTGCGATGAGACTTCTTCCCATTCCAGCTAACCACCAGAGTTTAGTAAATGAACACATGGCCCAACAGCTGGCAGCCTTTTCAACTGAATACGACTTATTTCCCCCGAGACAGACATTGCATAATGCACAATGGGTGCTGGAGGTCTCCCCGACTCGCACTGCTCCTTCGGCATGGTGGGTGTTTTGTTACACCACATTAGATTCTTTCACTAACTGCCGAAGAGGGAGTGGTTAGAGGCCACAAGCTGTTTTGCATTGGTTAGACCTGCACTGTCCAGCTGCTGCGTCTGCGAAGGCTCGCATTGTTGTGTGATGGTTAAAACTCAGCTGGATGTTTCATTTGCTGTTTTGTATTATGTGGTTGGGCTTACTGCTGAACTGCATTTTTGACTGCAGCTCCCAACATTGTAGTGCTTTAAAAAAAAAAAAGTGTATTTGACGACTTAGTCTCTGTCTTTTCAGTTGATGTCCCGTTGTTGTTTGATATGAACGAAAAAGGAAGTGATTGACAGTAAGATGCAAAAGCTGTGTGTTTCTGAACATCCATCCATCCATCCATCATCTATACACCGCTTAATCCTCACCAGGGTCATGGGGGGCTGGAGTCTATCCCAGCTGACTCAGGGTGAAGGCAGGTTCACCTGGACAGGTAACCAGTCTATCACAGGGCTACACTTAGAGACAGACAACCAAGCACACTCACATTCACACCTACGGACAATTTACAATCACCAATTAACCTCAGCATGTTTCTGGACTGTCCGGAGAACCCGGAGAGAACCCACGCTGCACGGGGAGAACATGTAAACTCAGAAAGATGACGCGAACCGGCGACCTTCTTGCTGCGAGGCAATGGTGCTAACCACCGAGCCACCGTGCAGCCCTGAGGAAAGGGCCATGAGCAGGTCTCGAACCCATGATCTCTGCATTGGGGACTATAACCCCTGAACATGGGACGCCAGCTCAACCAGTTGAGCTATCACGGCGCCGTTTCTGAATTTACCTGCATAAAAGACACTCCTAAGAGCAGCAGAAAGTCAGACTTCATGTTGCTCTTTAGAAGCAGCTCCTCTGTGAAATGGTACGTTTATTATTTCAAAGAAGTGGTGAGAGAGGTGGATAATATCTGTTGCTCACAACTCTGACAAATGTTTCCGATTTTATGTGTTTGGATATGATCAAACATCAGTTGCCCCCAATGGCAAAACAGCACTTCTGTACCGAAAAAGTTCTGATGATTGAGGAAATATTTCTGTTCAGTCTAGAAGTGTGAACAGCGAACGGGGGCAGCGTTGTTGTTTCATCCTTAAGCCGGCAGCAGCCGTCGTTACACCGACATCTGTGTTAAAGGACCAGCCATCCTGGTTGGGCGGGGATGTGACGTTTTGATGAGGTTTATGAAGTGTTGTGTGTGTGCTAGCACCACCGGGGGGATTTAAAAACCGCTGTTTATTGGGGAGACATTGAGGTCAGGAAGCTCCTCTCGGCAGAGGACGGAATTAGCCGCCACACAACAGGGACGGTGAGGGATTTATACGTCTGACGAGGTCACGCGTGGCCGGAACAATTAATCAATGTCTAATCAAAATCGCAATTTTTAATCAGTGCAATTAGCAAATCTCAAAAGCTGGAATTTAGAGCAAGTGTTGTGTGGCGTGTCTGACCCCTGTTGTGTCGATAGTTTTATGTCCTCCTTGTCACACTTTTGATGGCGTCTCACGTGGTAATGCTCCGTCACAGGTTTTAGATCTACTGCACAGTAAATATTGATTGAGTTTAAACTTGACTTTATGTCACGAATCAAATTGCAATCACAGCGCAGATAGGTATTTTCCCCAAATCATTTAACCAACGTTACACATCATGCTAATTCCAAAATGCTAGCATGCTATCTGATCACAGCCTGGGTTAGCATGTTTTGTAAAATGAGTGCTCTTCCTCTTACTAAGCCTGGCCCTTATGCACTGTTTTATAATTTTAGGGGTTTTATTATTTAGATTTTATTTGTCAAATTCATATAATACTTTATTTTTTTTTACTATAATACATTTATTTTGTGTAGTCTTTAATCTATTTATTTTTAGTGTTAATTGTATTGCTTTTGTTATTATCTTTATTTATCTCTTATTATCTTAACTATCCATCTCTTTTTGTGTCTCATTCAATTTCGTTGTTTTAGAGTGCATTGATCTAAATCTATTTTTAATGTCCTTCATTTTGTCAGTCGCTTGAAGAGCACTTTTATTTGATCTGTTTGAAACGCGGTGCATAAAGAAAGTCTGATGGACGAACAGCAATTTAGCAGAACCTGTGTGTGCTGTTAAGGCCATAGGAAGATTGTGTCCCTTTAGCTCCAGAGAGTGTACACTAAGCACAAAGGTACGGCCGGTTAAGGTCACACGGCGCCAGCAGGGAGAGTGACAAAGGGTTGACTTGTGATATGTTTGATTTAATAAATATTCTGGAGCAGACGTGTACGAGGCGCAGACACTGACCAGCATGTTTGCTAGTCATTGAAACGAAAGTGAACTGATGTGTGTAAACGGAGCCCCTGTAAACAACTGTTGTTGAGTAATGTGCGTGACAGTGTTACACCAGTGATTAACTGAAAATACAATCAATAGTAATTCTCTCTTTTTTTTTTCTTTCACATTTTTCTCTGAGCAGAGTCCTTTTGGAGTCACGTCGCAAGTCAAAGAAAATCACAGCCAGAGGGATCTTCACCGGTGGCCGGGTGGTGAGAGGAGTGGACTGGCAGTGGGAGGACCAGGACGGAGGCAATGGGAGGAGAGGAAAGGTAGAGTACAAGCAAGAACACTGGAGCCTGTAGCTGTGCTCTTTCCTTTACAAAACCAGCAGTTTTGAATTTGAAAGCTCAGCAGCAAATTGTTGGGCTGGAATGGCAAGAAAATCTGAACTCAGATCTGTGGATGGATAGTCGTGCACACATCTGGGTCAATGCCTTTACTATTTTTCATGAAGCTTATTAACTTGCTTGTCCAGCTTTTCTTTACAAATAATCTTTCTTATCACCTGATAGCTCCCAGGGTCCCAGTCTGTTGCAGGTGTCTGTAGTGGACGAGGCATCTGGGCTTTAAGTAAAAGTAAATAGTGTCTGATACAGAGATCAATGGTAAAAAAAAGGAAGGACATTTCTCTCCTCTAAATCCTGTTTCACAAGTGAGCCTTGAGTGTTCAGATGGATGAATACAGTTTCTAAATGCTATCATTGAAAAATATGGCCAAACTTGTCTCAGCTTTATTTCGGAGCTGCACAGTTAAGTAGGTTATAAATTCCTGGAGGTGAGGCAGGTTTGGTGAGGCTGCGAGAGGAGGCTCGGGGATCTTTTCCGCTAAACAACCTCGTCCCAGGAGTCCGGGGATACGATGTGATTAAAATGTGCAGGAGCCTCAACCACAACAGGAAGGGCCCTGCCTGACTCAACATGTTGGTGATATTTACGTGTGAAGGCAGATCAGTACACAAACAGACGAGTCCTGTGCTGCCCGACTAGGTGTACTTTATTGTTCTACACTGGAAGTTACTGGCTTCTGAAGTAATTAGGATACCCATGTCACTGTTCAGGCTTTCTTGTATAAACCATTATAATAACCTAAATCAATATTTTCGCCTCATGACTGTTTTATACCAATAAATCATCCCAATGTCGCTGCAGTGGGGAAATGAACTGAAGATGTGTCGTCCACTTGTGGCTCAGTCGAGCAAACTTTAGAAAAGACAATTTTGAATAGTGACGTGACAGTGGACGGTAGATTTTGATCATTATTTTCCATACTTTTTAAAATTAAGCACGAGTAATGGCTTAAATATTCAAATCATTTTATTTAATCCTTGATTTAAACAAGTGGTGAACAGATGGACAAACAAAAATATCACAAGATTTATTTTAATTTACAATATTTCCGGAAGAATCATTAAAATAGAAGGGCTGCAATGTGGTTCGGTGGTTAGCATCGTGGCCTCACAGCTAGAAGGTCGCCGGTTCATGTCCCAGTGAGGACACCCGGGATCTTCCTGCGTGGAGTCTCCATGTTCTCCCCGTGCAGCGTGGGTTCTCTCCAGGTTCTCCGGCTTCCTCCCACAGTCCAGAAACATGCTGAGGTTAATTGGTGATTGTAAATTGTCCGTAGGTGTGAATGTGAGTGTGCTTGGTTGTCTGTCTCTAAGTGTAGCCCTGTGATAGACTGGTTACCTGTCCAGGTGAACCTGCCTTCACCCTGAGTCAGCTGGGATAGACTCCGCCCCCCATGACCCTGGTGAGGACTAAGGTGTAGAGATGATGGATGGATAGTTCTGGCTAGCATCTGAGAACCATGACTTGTTCCTGCACATTTAACCTACAATTTGTTTGTCAGTTTGCGTCACTGAAACCCCCTTTTTTTCTTTCCCACCTTTGGTTTCTTCCATTTGATGCAGAGAACAACACCAGACATTCCTGCTGCAGGTTATTCCAGCTTAAACACGTCATTAGAAAGTTGTTCGATGTGTGATGAGGCTGCGTTTGTTTAGCACAGTGTATTTAGATTTATACTGTAACTGTGCAGTAAAGTGCTTGTATTTTGACTCTGGTCCAGACCCCAGAGTATTCAATTTAAGAGTCCCTCCAGGCGATTTAAGACTTCATTTTGCTGTGTTATTTAATGGCATATCTCATTACTGTTTTATGATGCTGTAAGCAATATGCTCTCCAGAAAACCACTATTACATGTCCTGCAGCCTCGACGTTCTGTTAGGTTAGCATATTACCTCCTAAGGCCCATTAATCAATTAGCTCTGGAAGGGGCCTGAAAATAATTTAACAGATTTCTGTATTTACTTAAGGCACAGCTTTTAATTAAAGAATTAATTCACTCCTCTACAACTCTTCTCTTGACACTTTCCCGATGTTATGAAAGCGTTGTGCTGCTTGTGATGGAGGAAGAATTGTCTCATGAACGCCCCAGCTTTTATCCCCCCCCCCCCCCAAAAAAATTTGAATGTGTTTAGCAGTCCTCGTTCATAGCTCATTGCTTATTTATGCCAATAACACATCATTTTTCTTGGCTTACAGCGAAAATCTGTGAACTAGTTCCCACAATATAAGTCAGGTGAATTATTGTTCAGAGAGCAGTAAGTGCCGACTCCAGAAAAGGACTTGTAGAAATGTTGTGACTCGTCTGTCAGGGTTCTTACTTGTAGTTTTATCACAAGATAGACCGACTGACTCACCTCGAATGAGCAAATTTGCATTCACGGCTTAATGGATGCAGTTCAGTCAAATGGTTCAACAGCATCAAAAGGTTCCTGATGTGATGAGAAGAACAGAACATGGCTTTGTTAGTCTAGAAATTAAAGTTAAGTTTTCTGGATGTCTATAAGAAGAAGGCTTCAGTAACAGTAGGAGTGTCTTCTGGATCCGTTTTTGTGATTAACTTTTCCCACAGAAGTTTTTGCAATATTTCCAACGTCTGTAAAACCAGTTATAGTTCTGCTGTTTCCTAACTGGCTCCACATGATGAATAAGAGTGTAAACATGCAAAGTGCCTATGCTGATGTTAATGAAAGATGATGTGGCTGGCTGTTTTCGAAAGCCGAGACTCTGTAGGAAAAGACAACTACATCTGGTTCTCTGTCCTTTGAATCACACATAAAAACCGTTGTGCCTTGTTTTGGATAGAAGGTCAGAGTTTCTCGTTATGTTTCCCACAGACTCTGCCTGTGGTTTGGCTGAACCAGACTTGCTTTTGTCTTGCTTTGTTTTCCTTGCAAAAGGAATCGTGGAATTTTTCTAATTAAAACCCCGTCGGAGATTGCACAAGTCCACCTAACTGGTGAAAAAAGTAGACAATAAAACGCTTAGTATTGACTGTAAAAATGCAATGCAGGGAGAACTAATACGAAATCTAATTGTGACCTCATGAATCAAAGTCTAATCAAATTTGTTCCTGATTAGTCCCACTTCTAATATTACTCGTGTGTTCAGGGAATTAAACTTTCTTTGACACACAGTCGCTGTGCACGCGACAGAGCATCCGACACAACGCTGTATAGATTTACGACATCAACTTGCCAACGACTTTGGCTCTCCTCTGTCCCATATGTAATCTATCACCGTCCTGGAAAAAAAAAACAAGTGGTACATAAAGTTAAAACTGTCAGCCAGAGAGTGCAAACTGTAATGTTAACCCTCGACATGGCCAGAAGCTGACACTGGACCCTGGAACTGGAGAAGCTCAAGTTCAACTTCTGTGTTAACGGACACCTTGTCTTTGTAGCTGGACGCCGAGTGCCGACTCGGTTCTAGGGTTGCACTACAACCTTCACTCTGACCTTCCATTTGAAGGTGGCTAGTGTGAAGGTCACGTCTGTCTGTTGTCTCTCTGGTTTAGGAAGATGAAAATCACCTGTTTGGAAAAAAGTAATCCATGTCTCCTCAGTACTATAGATAATGTTTTCTCATTCAGTGTGTCAGAACTTTTATTTTCATTCTGAATAAAACTCGCTCTCAATGTGTCCTTCCCTGTTTTTCATCTCGTCCCTCCTCCTCCTCCACAGGTGACGGAGATCCAGGACTGGAGCGCGGCCAGCCCTCACAGCGCTGCCTACGTACTGTGGGACAACGGGGCCAAGAACCTGTACAGAGTTGGCTTTGAGGGAATGGTGAGCAAACTTGTAGTCTGACCCTCATACACGGTCACTTACTCGCGCACACAGCGTCTCACAAAAGATCAGCTGTCAGGTGCCTTTTGTGTTTGACCGTAGGGCTTAGGCTCTTTCTTTTGCTGCCAGGCCTTTGTGAGAGCCACGCAGCCAGCATGAGTGCAGGCAGCTGGAAGGGGATAGTTATCTGCATGATAAAGGCAATCTGTTCTTTCTGCTTTTTTAGGGGGAGCGAGTGAACATGGAGGTCAACTTTAGAGAAGGGGGACATTCTCTTGGGGTTGTTGTGGGCCTAGCGACACACGCGTCCCACATGAAAAGCATTTCCTTCATTGGCCGAGACTGCTCCTGCCTTTTTACAAAAGTGGCCAATCGGGTTTCTCAGTTGCATAACAGATTTGTCCCTTTGTTATTCAAATAGATTGAAAGGAAGGTAGATGGCATCTGCCTCTGGATTAAATAAATCATGGATTAGACCCCCCATCTTGACTGTTTCATTTTGGCTTTGCTTTTTGGTGAGACAGTGGGCAAATCCTGCAAGTACAAGGAAACTGCAGCTTAGCGCGTGAGCCAACTGCAGCGCGAGAAGCCGAAACCTTTCCTGTTTTGTTAATGTCTGTTTTGTGCGCAAGGCACCATAACATCAAACATGTCCTGCTGCCTGGATACAGTACGATAGACACGCGTTATTAATTTGTTGAGACTTGTTGTAGTCAGGACTTTAGTGTTCCATCAGTTCAGAGGAGTGTTTGCTCCGCCTTATGATCATCTCTGCCCTCTAACTCTGTCACAGTGGCTGCGCATCTGAGTCATCACAAATGATACGATGCCTTCTCTCTGTAGCAATACAGTGCTTCATTGTCCTACCGTAGCCCGAGGGCACTGATATTGTAGGTGTTCTAGGCAACTCCTGTGCCACTGCAGCTGAAGTGTGTACATTCTCAGTTTCATTATTCATGATCTTGCCCCTCTAATGGAATTATCTTGGGTAATTATCTAACCCTTTCCCTCTTTTTTTCCTCTCAGTCGGACCTGAAATGTGTCCAGGATGCCAAAGGAGGTTCATTTTACAGAGACCACTGTCCTGTTTTAGGTGAGTAAGCCAGTGATCTGTGTCTATCGTCATTATTGCACCAATTCTCTCACCTATCGTTCTGGTGCAGTGAATTCAAGGGCATTAGGGGAGTTTTACTTGTAGTGCGGGTTGTCTGGCCACTAGATGTCAGCACTACATAGTCACCTGGCTACGGAGAGCAGGTACACGCTCAGGTCATGCAGTCACAGCGTTCCACACATTTCAGGAATAAATTGTCTTTCACTGCAGCAGAAGCCCCTCATTAGGTTTGATAGTGTCATTATTATATAATGTGGCGTCCATATAGTCGTGCACTCCTTCATCTGGAATGCCTTTTCCTGTTTGTCACGCTGCACTCCTGCTTAAAGTCACTTGCAGACTTGAAATCATGCAAATAATGCAGTTCTGTTAATGGTAACTATCCCATCCTCGTTGCCTCCCAGGTGAACAGAATGGCAACAGAAACCCTGGCGGTCTTCAGATTGGAGACCTGGTCAACATTGATCTGGACTTGGAGATCGTTCAGTCCCTCCAACATGGCCACGGAGGATGGACCGACGGCATGTTCGAGACCCTCACCACCACCGGCACAGTGTGCGGCATTGACGAGGACCACGACATTGTGGTCCAGTACCCCAGCGGAAACAGGTGGGCCCCATAGATGGACTGGCTCAGATTTATAGGCTCCTAATGACTAGGACTCCTGAAGGGGCGTCATCTTATCAGCGTATTTAATCTGTATTGAGTTTTATAAAACCACTTTGACCTCAAACGTTGCAAAAACATTTTTAGTACTTTGTCACTATAAGATGTAATAATAGTTTGGAACAGTTAACACTTGAAAACAACGTGTTAATTTGAGTTAAATTTATAATAAACTTGTGTACATAATGGAAATGTAGGGTGCTAACATTACATTTTAGGCCATAAAGAATTTGATTGAGACATTTCTATGATGTCAGCATGGTACAAAAAAAAGTCCAAATCAAGTTCTGTCCCAGATCCAAGGCCTTTAAAACTGAGTTAACTAGTTAGATTTACCTTAATGTGGATTAAACATGCATATGAAACATTAAAAGAACGTGTGTGCTTTCTAAATTTAACACTTAATAAGCTTTAATTATTGATGTGCTTCATTGTGCAATAAACAGAAGTTCATTCCTGTAAATATGTAAATATTCTTAGATTTGTTTTCTTGGTATCCTCGCGTTCTTCTGTTGTTCTTATTTAGATTGCGTGTATATAGTGCACATACCTCGTCTCTTTAATTTATAGTTGTTTGTTTTCTTGCCGTCACTTTGCTGCTGTGACGTTGCAGATTTCCCCTTGTGGGACTAATAAAGGATATTCTATTCTATTCTATTCTATTCTATTCTATTATCTAATTTGACTCACGAAACAGATTTGATGTGACCTGAGTACGGACAGCTACGTACAGAGAGCGCACAAACTCTAGCTTTTTGTTTAACTATGGCTGTAGTTTCCAACTTGGTCATGAATTGTGAGCGAGGTGGTCTGTGTTGTTTGAGAGCATTGATTTCCGTATCCTCAGATGGACGTTCAACCCAGCAGTGCTGACCAAGGCCAACGTGGTGCGCAGCGGTGAAGTTGCAGCCGGTGCAGAGGGAGGCACTTCCCAGTTCCTCGTGGGAGATCTGGTGCAGATCTGCTATGACATCGACCGCATCAAGCTGCTCCAACGAGGCCATGGAGAGTGGGCCGAGGCGATGCTACCTGTAAGAGTTCATAGACTCTGATGTGTGCAGATTTGTCCGAGCTCACACTCAACATTATGCACATGAATACCAGCTTGAATGTTACGCTAATATAAATCTGAATATAAATGTCATGTAGCCCTGTTTCACTGACACAATGGTTTTCTGAATAATGATTCTTAGAAAATGTTTGCCAAATAATTTTAGAATTCTGTCTATGACGAGTTATTTCATTTACCAAGGAAGTATAACATTTAATGAAACTATCCGCTGGGCTGTGAGAGAGAGAAAAGTGATTACAGGATCGCACATGAATCGTGACATGTAGCGACAGATTCCTCCCCTTAAATCAGCCTGTGCGTGTTCTGCTGCCAGTCCTTTTGTAAAATCTCTCCTCAGTCACAACATGACTTTATTCTTCCGATATTATGAAGTTTATTCATCGCTGCCCAGCATGCCGTAGGTTATGTAACGCCAGTCTAGTCCAATATGCCACTTGTCCCTGCCAAACTGGTCCCCTCAGCAGCTAATGAGCCTTAAAACCCTGAGATGGGTTGTATCTTTGATCACTAACCATGGCTGTTTGCCGCCCGCTGCTGCATCTACTGCAGCAGTCGCTGTTATTGATGACATCCTCCAGGACAGTCCCAGACCCGGCTCAACAGACTCCAAGTGCCTCTTTCTTATATAGCCAGGATCGAGATGATATAATTCAAAATTGAAAAGCGTTATGCTCCGTCCTCTCTGTATTGCCAGTATAGATGAGGAATAGTCTCTCAAGCAGAAGGGTCCCATTCATTTATATCCATCTCCTTCCTTGTGCAAGTGAATGTCCTCTGAATAATGAGAACACAGCTTAAGTCTACACGGCTTTGTTTTTTTCTGTCGTTTTCTTTTTGCAGTGAGCTTACTTTCTGCTGCTTGTAGGACAGTTGCTGTGTTGAACCACTATCCTTTCCCCCCTCACCTCTAGTTTTGTAGTGCTTCCTCACAATCTCCCTCCATCTGTCCTCTGCCGCGTACAGACTCTGTTACACAGCACATAGCCCAGAGACAACAACCCTCCATATACTAATGAGTTTGTCACAACATTTTTAAACAGACCCTAGGCAAGGTGGGCCGTGTGCAGCAGATCTACTCTGACAGTGACCTGAAGGTCGAGGTTTGTGGGACTTCTTGGACGTACAACCCTGCCGCTGTCACCAAGATCGCCCCCTCTGGCTCTGCTGTCAGCAATGCCTCTGGAGGTGTGTATGAACATGAACTATTGACACAGAGAGAGTATCATTTTAGTTCTTTGTCCTCTCTACTCCTTGTATTCTGGCATCTACATGCAATCAGTCTCTCATGTTTTCTTTCTGGTTTGCCAGAGCGTCTGTCTCAGTTGCTGAAGAAACTTTTTGAGACACAAGAATCTGGAGACATCAATGAGGAGCTGGTCAAGGCAGCAGCCAACGGAGACCTGGCCAAAGTGGAGGACATTCTGAAAAGACCTGATGTGGATGTAAGTGCTTTAACATTTTGGTATTTTATGATAAGCAGCCGGTGGATTTCTGGGTAGGGTTTTTTCTTTTTTTCTTTTTTTTTTTTAAACAGACCCAATGATTTTACCATTAAACATACACAGAACATCTGAGCACATTTATAATTGGAGCTGAAATACCCCTGGCAGTGCTCTGCTCTTCTGTCAGTATATTGAGAAAGCGGAGAGTCTCCCAGGAAAGGTCTCTAAGATCCTCCCACTGCTACACCTCTCTCAATCTGAACAGCATTAAGGCTGGGCCCAGAGGAGGCACCGAGGAGCACTGGTGTGCACTGCAGCACAGACCCTGAGTCACTCTCGGAGTCAAGTGGAGATCTACAAACCCCATATGGTTGTAGATTGTGTTCTGGCACAGACTACAGGACAGGGAAAACACCCGCTTGCCACAGGACGGAAATCTGTACCTTGTATAGGTTATGAGAACTTGTTACATCAAATCTGCAATACTGTCTTTCACTCGGAGCAAAAGCGAGTGAGTGACTGTCTGTGCGTGTGTGTCATTGGTGAAGGCTGGCCAGATGCCCTATTGCCTTTCAGTGGAATTATTTGCTTAAAGCTGAGCACACTGAGCCCGGCCAAGTGATCCGGCTGCCAGGACAAGAGACGTCTCGAGACTCCCAAAGGAGTCCGCATTAATATTTATGCTCTGAGTTTTTGCAGTGCTGCAGTTGGTGATGAAACATGCGCACACAGCCGTGCATGCACATCTACACATACCAATGCTTAGACAGACACTCACCATTCCCGTTTCTTAACAGGTAAATTCAGTAAATGTGGATCTAGACATTAAACATGACATTGACGTGTGCCCGTCCTCTCGCTGTGTCTTTGTGTTTGCAGGTGAATGGGCAGTGTGCTGGACATACTGCTATGCAGGCAGCCAGTCAGAATGGTCACGTTGATGTTCTGAAGCTGCTGCTTAAACACAATGTGGACCTGGAGGCTGAGGTTGGTATTGTTTTTTAAAATCCTTGCCTCTCACACATGCATCTTAACCTATTACGTGGCATTTTAAACAGTGAAGAACAATCCCCTCGTGGGCTCAGCATTAAGTCATTTTTCGGGTGTGTCACTGTACTCAGGACAAAGATGGAGACCGGGCGGTGCACCACGCAGCCTTTGGTGATGAGGGCTCTGTCATTGAGGTGCTGCAGAGGGGCGGTGCTGACTTGAACGCCAGAAACAAGCGAAGACAGACTCCGCTGCACATAGCCGTCAACAAAGGTCATCTACAAGTGGTTAAAACCCTGCTGGACTTCGGCTGCCACCCCAGCCTCCAGGTACCTATGGCTGTAATTCATTTGTCTGTTGGGTAATGCTTCATGGCAGGCCTTGTGACGTCTTACAGAAGCAACATAGAAGCAAAAACCTCTAACAACAATGAGCAGTGACAGTCTGCCTTTCATTGATTGTAAATTACATGGTCTTGAAGCAGACAGCTGAACGGTTATTTCATGCACGGTTTGAATTGGATTAGTTTAGAGCAGAAAGTAATACTTGGTTTTCCTTTAAGGACTCAGAAGGGGACACACCTCTGCACGATGCCATTAGCAAGAAGAGAGATGACATGTTGTCGGTGCTGCTGGAGGCCGGCGCTGATGTTACTATCACTAACAATAATGGGTTCAACGCCTTGCATCATGCTGCCCTGCGAGGGAACCCCAGGTATGTGACACCTCACTGCCGCAGCGAGCTGACCCACCTGCTTGGTGGCTACGATGAATGAGTGTATGTTTGAAGTGGAATCTGTGGAGGCAGTAGTCTCAGCGAGATAAGCTACGTAAAATTGGCTTCCAAATTCTGGCTCTGGTTTTCACACTAAATTAATATATGATGAGTAAGATGGGAAAAATAATTATTTCTGGTGTTCTGTCTCAGGCAAAAACAAAACAGTGTCTGCTGCGAGCTTGGCTATGGATGAAATGCCCACTAAATGCTATTGAAATTATCCTTAATTTTGTGGATTTAAATGAGCTGATGTGTTCAGTATCTCCGCTCCTCTGCTGTTCAGCATTGCTCGACAGTTTTACAGCTTATTGTTCAAGTTGACTCAGCACTGGATTTTTTCCTTCTAGTGGCTGGCAGCTACTATTTAAATGCAAAATATAGACTAGTTGTTTCTCATTTTAGGTTTCAATTTTATTTGTAGATTAGATTAATTTATTTTGAGAATGTGTTTTATTCTCCCTTTATTTAATTTTTGGGGAACATTATGTGCACTTTCCTGCATCAAATCAGTGTCTGAAAAGGATAAAAAGAGGATCAGGGATACATATTCTGCAGCCATATGTAGCTGCTGTGTTGTGATTGCAAGGAAAAAAAATGCACGGGACTCCATTAAATGTGCTTCGCCATGAGCTAATATCTTTGCTTATACATCTCCTTTGTCATGGATCGTTCAGCTTAGCACAGCTTGGCACAGAAAACTAAATTTTAGAGCATTGCTGTTCAAGCCATATCACAAGTATTAGCTAAAACTCCAACCAGTAGAGTGTATGTTCTGCTTCTGAGCAGCCAGGGTACAGAGGCCACGACAGAATCACTAATCTGTTACTTAATCATCCTCCCTTGGAATGAAAGACTCGCCATCTACGGGTCCAAACTAGGAGACGATCTGGGCCAAGTCGCTGACGTAAGCAATTACAAAATTTTGATTAACTGGCAGTGAGTCCTATTGAGGATCAGTTCAGAATGTGTGTTTATTTCACAAGTTGGTGTTTGTTGTAGAGATTCGTTTTCATGTCGTGGATTATCTTTTCGGCGTCCTCTAACAGACCGCTACTGTCTGGTGTGAATAGATTTTTAATATTTAAAATGAACCAACCATTTTGATGACTTCCACAGATTCCACTTCAATTTAAAAAATAGTTGAAAACGCTGAAATATATTTCATTCCACTGCCTCGCTGAAGACCTTTTATCCACCTATAAGCTCTACTTTGGTATCTCAATTTGCTTTGACATTCATTGGCGTTTCAAAGCGGGCCTTTAGGTCTCATCCATCTCCTCAACAGATGCTATGTTCTCTTATGTTGACTTTTTTATTAGTATAGCTAATAGCCTCTCGAGTTCATTTGTTGTTTTCCTTTTTACTGTTACGCTAATCCATCAACATGTGCTGCGAACAGAGCCTGGCCCATGCAGCAGCAGCAGCAGCAGCAGCAGCAGAGCTTCTTGTCCTTGGCCATTGCTATTTCTGACCAGCAGGTTGCTGCTCCACTCTTTATCTGTTTTATTCTGGTCTCTCAACCCTGAGCATATTAAAGATGGCTCAGAGAGATGACTGTCTGTTTCATATTGATCATCCAGGGTCTCTTGAAGGTGGAGTCTGCGATTCTGCACACAGACTGTCGGTGTTTAGCATATTCAGATAGTTAGCGTGTACTGGATTTACAGTCCCTCGCATCGCACTGCACCCTTTTCCCCCTCGTCTCCCCTCCCCCGCCCGTTTGCCCCGTCCTGTGCACGAGCGTGGACGAGAAACGCTGTAATAGTGTTGTGTGGACTGGTCCCAGCCGCTTTGTTTGTTTCCCGTTTGCAGAGCCAGGGCTGTGTGTGAACATCGCACAGACAGATTGAACACTGAGCAGATCGTGAGGATGTATTTGCAGAATTTGACACATAACGGATTAGAATCATAACTCCCCTTTTCTGAGGTCTCGGAGTAGTGAAAGTTAACAGTATTTGTGTGCGAGCGTGGTTATCCCGGGCTAAATGTCATTCCCCTTCACTGGCATTTATTCTTTTGGCACGAGGACAAATGGAATTCAGGTCGGAGGGCTTTGGAACACCTGTCATCCACCGAAAGCCCGGACGGACCCGGCCCTCCGCCTCTGGTACGCTGCAGAATAGATTATCTAAAGCCACTTTAATGCCTGATTAGTTCGTGGTGCACTGATCAATTGATTTGCAGATTGACTTAGATGCAACTGTACAGAAACAGAAAGCATCGCTTATCAAAGGTGTCAGAAAAAATTATTATATTGTGAAGCTGTCATGCAGTGCTTTAGTAACAACATCAGTTGTGTACAAATACATGGATGAGACGGAATTTAAATATCAAATTAATGTTAATTAATTAATAGACATAGTATGAACAGCAACACAGGTGCAGAAATGTCTAATTAAATAATATAAGTTAAAGTGAGTCCACACTAATGTATTCATTTATTTTTCTAAAGGTACAGAACCATCTCAGTTTGTCCCCCCTTGGCATGTAATTCCAGAGGTGATGATCTCTGAAATTGAATGCAGTTATATAGACGCATGTCTACGGTAAATGTTTTTCAAACTTAACTGCGTAAATGGCAGGACAGAAATTAAAGCCGTCCCAGTCGGACTTCAAGAGGAGGGAAGAAAAAAAACCGATTACAAGTCTACCGTGTGGTCTTTTTACTGCATAGCTTTTAAATTTTAATGAATAGCAGCGCACATATTTAGGAAAGGTCACAGAGCAGCAGAGTTTAAACAAAATTATTTGCATTATAAATATTAAAAAGCAACGGGTGCATAATGTGTGTATGTAAACCCGGGTTAAGGATATACAGTAGGATTCTGGTCCGCCGGTGGATTCATTGATTTACAGGCGAGAAATGCTGGAGTACAGTATTTTCTGTACCAGGGCTGCTGTCGTGTTGTGTGTGCATTGCTTGCTTCAGTCCGCGCTCTGTCCCCTTGCCTTCAGAGAAACGAAGATATATGTCGCCTTCTCCAGTCTGCCCATTTACTTTTATTTCACGCTCGAGCTCCTGCAATATCGGGAAGACAGTCCACAAGTCCTAAAGCTCTCGAAAATCTCTCCCCAGGTTGAAGTAAAAGTACCTCGTCCAGTTTGTTTTTTAGTGCAGAGGCCGTTGTTTCGATCGAGCGCTCGGAGGAATTCCTAACATAGAATCATATTTCTAAAAAAGCACTCTTGATGACTGTCGATAAGAAGTGCTCGGAGTTGGAAGCTAATCAAAAGGCCCTCAGATAAAGGATATCACATGAAGAACATCCAGTTAATGACTCATTTTATTATTGCTGTCTGATGGTAGCTTTCTGAATTGGGGCCTGCTGTTTTCCTTGTGTTTAGATTGAGTATTGGCACAGTGGCCAAAACAAGAATAAAATGTAATTTCTCATCAAAACTATTACAGCACAACTCCTGGAGAACAGGGAGGAGGAAAAAAAAAAAAAAAAAAAAAAAAGAACCGAGCTTCCTTTCTGTGTTCTGTTCGGCTAAGTGATGTAAGTTATTAACGTCGAATGCTAGCTTTTGGGTTCAAGTAGAGAATGCGTCAGAGTCCCTGGTGTGCGTGTAATGTGTTGTGTGCCTGGGTGTTTTAAGAGCGTGGGTGGGTCTTCCAGCAGTGGAAACAAGATTGAGGAAGACACATAGGAAGAACCCTGTGGGTGACAGATGAATCTTTCAACTTGAAGTCCCAAATACTGAGACAAATCAACTCTACCAACAGGGGAGCGGCAGGAACCGGGGAGTTTTACAATATTTTACCTTGTTCATTACTCACACACACACACACAGACACACACACACCACTACAGCGTGTAAAGGCATTTCCTCATAAATTAAACCTAGTTGTTAAGTTTTACAATTCCTAGTAAATTGGAAGTGTCGGTATAACCAGCAGTAACGTCTCCAGGAACGGGCTTTCTCGGGCCTCCGCAGTGTGTGTTCTCCTTGTGTGTTTACCGCAGCTCCAGCCTGCAAGGAGAGCCTGGCTCATCTCCGTGTCTTTCCCTCGAGCTGCTCGAAGCCAGTAGCTGCTACAATACAGTAAACAATACGATTAATAGCCCATGACTCATAAACGGGCTCTAAACAAGCCCTGCAGCGGCTGTCTGTACCCTTTTACGTGTCACCTCCTTGTAATATTTGCCCTCCTCCCTCTCCGATGTGGTTCTCCGCTTTCTTTTAACATGGTAGCGTACAGGCAAACCCCGCGGTAATTGCCTTACCTGAGGAGACGGAGGGTTCTGTGAGCAGTCAGCGGCACGATGGTGGTATTGTAACAGGGATCGTGGTTAGATGGAAGATAGTGTTGGAGGCCCGTGGGTCAACCGTTGCTACAAGTTTGCTGATATGTTCATGAGCACCCTCTCACGCTCATGTTAGGCTAATCAAGTCAGACCACCGTGACTGAGTAAACTGCTGCTTGTTAGGGTGCACAAATGGGTTTCATGTAATTGTTATTGGTCCAGTGGAAAACACTTTGAACTCGAATTAACAGTCACATCTATATGCTATACCCACAAACTGATTCGAGTAATTAGGCAAATGACAACTTTTAGATCAGCCGTGAAACAAATGATTTAGGAGCGTTTCTTTTTATATTTTCCGTGCTTAAAAAGAAACCGGTTTGACGTCGCATTAAGTGCCAAATTAGGTAGGCAAAGCGCCGAGAGGGAGCCGAAAAGGAGGGACGGCAGGAGACGCTGCGTGAGGGGATTTGAGTTTGATCTGCCTGCTTGTTCTGCAGCCACAGCATGCGGACGTGTGAGACTGTAGCTGCTTGAGAGCGACTGTGTGCTCCTGTGATTTGTACGTTCAGCTTCTGTCCTCCAAAGCATCTGGCTCTCGTCTACCCCAGCTTGTCCGACATCACTGCAGTATGCTTGAGGGAGAGGAGGCTGAAGACTTTGTGTGTGTGTGTGTGTGTGTTCTGT